TTATAAGGCTTCAAAATATAATTTTCAAGGTTTTTAGGCATAATTTGTAAGGCCTCCGGGCATAATTCTTAAAACCTATGAGCATAACTTATAAGAACTCTAGGTATAATTTTATAAGGCATCTGGGTATAATTTTTAAGGCTTCTAAGCATAATTTTCAAGGCCTCCAAGGATAATTCTCAAGAGCTCCGGATATGATTTGTAAGACTTTCGGGCATAATTTTTAAGACCTCCGAGGATAATTTCAGAAAAATTAAAATTTGAAAAAAAAAAACCTTTTGATAAGACTTTGATCCTTGTATAAGAAAAATATTGTGAAGATGAAGTTTGAAACCTTTGGATGAAGATAATGATTTCAAGACGAGTTGGTAAATCTTGGTTAAGAAACTCTTCTAGTTTTAAAGTTTCATAGCCTTCATTTAGAAGAGTTTTTTTTTATCACAAGATGAGAATCTCATATGCGAATCCTTGAGACAATGAATTTTAGATTGAAAATTTTCAAATGAGAATCTTTGAATCTTGGATGCGAATCTCTAAGATTTTCAAATATGAATTTTTGAATCTTTGATGAGAATCTTAAAAACTTATACAAATCTCAATAATCTTTTGTGAGCATCTTGAATCTTCGATTTGAATATTTGAATGAACCATTGATCTCCTTCATATAAGAATCTTTTTTATATTTTAAAAGTTATGGAATCGCTATTTAGAAGAGCATTTAAATATTGAGATTTGAAAGATTTTTGGGAATAGTTTTTAAGTCCTCCAGGCAAAATTCACAAATCTTTTAAGCTAAATATGTTTTCATATTGTAAGACTTTTAGGCGTAATCCCAAGTCGTTCGAGTAAAATTCTAAGTCCTCCGAGTAGAATGTTTAAATTTTTATTTTTTTCAAAGTTATTGAGCTTCTGATGAAATGAGCATTTTATATTTCAAAGTTGTTAAGCATTTGTTGAGAAAGAACTTTTGTAATTTTATTTTTTGATTTTTTTAGGCCCGAACAAAATGGATGTCTTTTATCTTTGCATGATTCTTATTTCACAGAAACACACAAAGAGGGGCAGGTGTGGACACCCCATTTAGTCGGGGTATTTTTTTTATTTTAGAATTTTGTTTAGTTTAGGATTATTTATTTTGTTAATTAATTGATTTATGATTTAAAACAAAAAGAAAAAAATTTGGTTTGGTTTGAAGCCTAGTGTTTTAATTCAAAAATGGAATGTATTGATTTGAAAGGTGGACTTGGATTAAAAATCTAAAATTGACTTTGATTAGGAGATTGAAACCAAGAAAACATTTTTCCTATTGTGATTTGGATTAAAAGGCCTATAAAAAGACCCCATTATGATCAATTAGATACAATCAAGAATCAATCAAGAAAAAAATCAAGAAAGAAAGAGTAAAAAAATAAAGGCAAAAAAAATTAAGATTTTTTTATAGTCTTTTTTGGTATTTTAAGTTTAGATAATTAAGATTTTCTTTTAGGAATTTTATGGTGGAGAAAGTAGTTAAGAAGAAACACAAAAGAAAGGCATTCAACAAAAAGTTTTTGAAGCAACATTTTTGAAAACTTCGGGAATATATGTTTTAGGTTTTTGTTTGATTTTTGTTTAAACTAGAAAGAAAAGCAATTACCACAGGCAATGGGCGCAAAGAAAGCCATAGGCAGTTTTGCAAATAAACAAGAAAAAAGATAAGGTCATTTTTATTTTTTTCTTCTTTATTTGTATATTTATTTATGTTACTTAGTTGTTTCTCTTTCTTCCTTTATGCATATTTAAAATAAAATTTTTATAATAAATTCATGATTCCTACCAAATAATTGAAGGATTTAAATCGTAAATTATTAATTCTACCAAACGATTGAAAATTTTTATAATGAATTTTTAGAAAATAATTTTTCAATCATATCAAACAATTGGAAGGATTCAAATTTTCATTTAATCTTACTAAACTATTGAAGGATTTGATGATTTTTTTTTCAAAAGAAAATTTCAAGGTTTTCAAATAAAAATCCCTCCAAACGATTGAGAGATATGCATTGATATAAAATCTTATCAAATGATTAGAAGATTTTATTATTTACTTTTAAAAAAATAATTTTGTAGAAAATATGTTAATGAATTCGATGATCAGAGTCTCTTTAAAGTGGAACACGAGTCTCTATGAATACTTTTGAGGTGAAAAAATTATCTTAAATCATTACCAAATGATTGGAGTAATTTTAAGATTAATTTTCAATAATTAAATTTACTTGGTAAAAATTCAAAAATATTTTTAGGCTTGGATAACATGAAATCAAACTAGTACTATCATTTGATGGGTTTTGTGAAGGTACTATAACATTCTTTACATGTAACCATACTCTTGGATCTGGTATTAGTTTCATAGATATAAAATTTACTTTTTAAAGATATCTAAGTTAAGCTTGAGATTTCTCTTTAAAAAGGGACAGATTCACTGAGGTGGTCAATCTCTCATTAATACCAAAAAGATTGGTGGTGACTTCCTAAAGTAAAGTCTAGCTGTAGTCCATGAATTTATACGTTATGATAATATGAATAACTAAATGACCTATATCCTATAGGTTTTTATTTGTCCCAATCCAATTTGTGTGAGTTTTTTAAAAAATTCGAGAGGGTTGAGGTTTTTATTAAATGTGGGTTGAACAGGATATGGGTTTATAATATTTCGTCTTATCCTAAGTATATATAAAATTATATTTTTAATTATTTATTTAATTTTATATTTATATATGTATTATATTATTAAAGTTATTATTTAATACCTCAATTTAATAATAATATTATATTTACACATAATTAAGATATAATCCATATATTATATAAATTTTACTCATTTTAACTTTTGTTTGTCCTTCATCCAAGATGTCGATGACACCATATGTTTATTTTTTTTTTCTTTTTCTCAATTTAATTTTTTTGTTTTTTATTTAAAAAATTTTATAAAAAAATCTAATTGAAGTATTCAAATTGCACCCTAATTTGGTTTTTTTTGCCTATTTTTAATTAAATAAATTTACAGCAAAAGTAGTCAATTGATAAAGATAACAAAATAATTCCTATTCAATAAGTTTCAATCTGATTGATTTGATTCGAGTGCCATTTTTTATAAAGATCGAGTTAAGGCAAATTGAATTTTTTAAAGAAAAATGAAGTTGGGTTAGCAATGGATTAATAATGCTTCACCCCGATCTACTTCGAGATATATATATATATATATATATAATATTTTTTATTATCCATATTATAAATTTTACTTATTTTGCCTTCATGTTTCACCTCTCCTTTAGCTCACTTTTTTTTTTCCTTTTTTTTTTATATTCTTTTCCTTTCCCACTCTTTATATTTAATAAATAATATTTTTTAAGATATATGGTTAGACTCATTTAATAAAAAAAAATAGTTTTTTTTTAATTTTTTTACTTTTTACTTTTTAATTTCTTATTTTTTAATTAGATAAATTTTATAAAAAAATAATATCAATTGAGGAATGCACGTAACACCCTCATTTAGTTTTTTTCTTTTCATTTTTTTTGTTTTTTAAATAGATAAAATTTACAATGAAATGAACCTATCGATAAAGATGACAAAAAATAATTAATATATAATAGATTTTGATCCGTCTTGATTCAATGTGAATATTTTTATAAAAAAATCGATATCGAATCGAGTTAGATCGATTTTTTAGGGAAGTGGTGATGGGTTGGAAGTGGATTTAAAGTGTTTTACTCTGAGTCATCTTATGGTATATATAAAAATATATATTTTATTATTAATTTAATTTATATTTATGCATATGTATTTTATTAATAGTTTTTTTTATATCTTAATTTAAGAAAATAGTATTCTAAACTCGATGAAAATGTCTATTTGACACTCTTAGCGAGCTCTTTCTTTCTTTTTTTTTTTTTGGTTTTTTTTCCATTTTCACATTTTTTTGTTTGATAAATTATGTGAGAAAAAAAGACCAATTAAATTATTCATGTGTTATCTTAATTTAATTTTTTTACTTGTTATCTTTTTTAATTGGGTAAATTTTATAAAAAATTAATGATGTAAAAATCATTTTTAATTTAATTTTATTAAAATTTTTATAAAAAAATAAAAATAAAAAACTATGAATTATTTTAAAGAATTTTAAAATAATTATTTAATTAATAAAAAAATTGAACCTGAGGTATTCTGCAGGTTCACTTGGTATGAAAGGAGCACAGGCCAAGTCTCCGGCCTCCAATTTTATAATATTCACGGTTTCTAAATTTTGAAATAAATATTATTTTGGTCTCTAAATTTTAAAAATTAATTATTAATTTTTATGTTTTTGATGGTCCTAATGAAAAAATCATTTGTTATTTAATCAGTTAGTCGAATGTTAAATGAAAAAATAAAAAAAATTTAAAGTAGGATAATGGATTGTTAACATTATAAAATTAAGGTTAAGAGATAAAATAATAATAAAAATAAAAGTTTGATAAAATTTATAATATTTTATTAAAAATTTTAACTAATATTTTATAACTAAAAATATTTGACTTTTGAAAAATATTTTACGGTGATGAAATATTATAAATAAATGATAAATACATGATAAAATATTTTTATGATGATGTATAGTTTAATTATATATTTTAAAGAAACAATAAATAAATTTAAAAAATAAAATTTTATTTTCAAAATATAGAATTCTTTTTTGATCTTAAAACTAAATAAAAAATATTTACTAAGAAAATTAAAAATAAAAAATAATTTTATTCTGTATTAATGATTTTATTTACACAAGAATGGTTTTGTTATGATCATGAAAATATTGAGATTAATATATTGTTTTCAAAGTTTAGAAGTCAAAATAATATTTATCTAAAAATTTATGGACCATGGACGTAATTTACCTTTTTTTTTAGTGAAAAAATCTTATTATCATTTTTTTATATAAAAATTTTCAGACCAAACTTCTAAAATATAAAAATAATAAAAAGGCCAAAAAAAAAAAAATCAGTATTTTGTGACTTTCTTTCTATTTATATTGCTGGCACCATATACTCTTAAAATCTTCATTTCTCACCCTGTAATATCTGTCTTCTTTTCCTCTTTCTCTGTAAACAAAATTTGATTTTTTTGTTGCATTTATACAATAGAAATTTATACAGATATTTGTTTAACTGAATTTGCGTGTAAAAAAACGGATTGAGATCTTTATAAGAAAGGACACAATTGAGAGAAAAAGGACATATTATTTGAGGGGTAAGGCAAATAGAGGAGAAGAAGAGGATGAAATTGACCTCCTCTATTCTTATTCTTATTGTGCCTCCTCTCAGATCTTAGTTTTTAGCAAGATTTGGCATTTGGGTTTCGTTTGATTGGTGGGTTTCTTCTTTTTTTTTTCGATCTTTTGCTTAAATTTCTAAATTTCCAAATACATCAATTTATCATCTATCTTGGGTCTTTTTTTTTTTTTGCCTTTTCAATTCTGAATTCCAGGTGAAGTTAAATTCTGGGTTGGTCTGTTGATTGATCGCGGAAGGATCTGTTTGTTTCTAAATTTTGAATCAGAGAGAAAATTTTCATTCTGTATCGGATTACACTTTCGTTGTTAAAATAAAAGGTATTGAATTGTATCTGCATTATTGTGATTGGATTGCTATGGTCAATAAAAGGCACAATTTTAATTTGTTATTATTAATTTGATTCATCGAGAAGGAATATTTTGATATTGGTTTTTGATTGGTTCATTGTTGTTGCAATTAAAATTTTCTGTCTTGCATTGGATCCAGCAATGAATTTAACCTTTTTATGTTAAAAGTGTATATTTGATTTGCGTTCGTGGATACTTTGGACTTTGTATTGACGGAACTGGTTTTTGTGGAATGCAGAAAAAATGTCTGAAAATGGTAAGCTTTTTATTGGTGGGATATCTTGGGACACCAATGAAGAGAGTCTCAAGGAGTATTTCAGTAGTTTTGGTGAAGTGGTAGAGGCAGTGATCATGAAGGATCGGACCACAGGGCGTGCCCGTGGTTTTGGTTTCGTTGTTTTCGCTGACCCAGCTATTGCTGAGAGAGTCATCAAGGAGAAACACAACATTGATGGCAGGATGGTGAGTTGTTGATCTTTTAAGCGCACCTTTTTAGATTAATGTTTTGAAATGTACTATTCATTGATGCTATTAGGTTATTGAGGCAAGAGGTGAAAATTCAATACTTTATCGGAGTTATGAACCCGATATTGTAATTGCAGGAATTCGTATGATTCTGGTGCTTTGTCCAAATAAATTTCAAAATTGATCCAATAGTTATGAACCCGATATTTCAAAATTGGTTATGTTTGTAATTCTCTTCTTTCAGTCTAATTTCTTATATTGAGCTGAAAGAATTTGTGTTGTTTAAGTTTTATTTTCATCATTGAGTTACTTATGCTCAGGTTGAGGCAAAAAAAGCAGTTCCTAGGGATGACCAGAACATTATGAGTAGAAGCACTAGTAACATCCATGGTTCACCTGGTCCAGGCCGTACAAGAAAGATTTTTGTAGGAGGTTTAGCATCTACAGTCACAGAGAGTGATTTTAAGAAGTATTTTGATCAGTTTGGGAATATCACAGATGTTGTGGTGATGTATGATCACAACACCCAAAGGCCTAGGGGTTTTGGATTCATCACTTATGATTCAGAAGAAGTGGTGGATAAAGTGTTGCTAAAAGATTTCCATGAACTGAATGGTAAAATGGTTGAGGTTAAACGAGCAGTTCCCAAAGAGTTATCACCTGGTCCCAGTCGTAGCCCCCTTGGTGGATATAACTATGGTCTGAATAGGGTCAACAGCTTTCTTAATGGCTACACTCCGGGATATACACCTAGCAGTGTTGGAGGATATGGACTTAGGATGGATGGTAGATTCAGTCCAGTTGCTGGTGGTCGAAGTGGTTTTCCTCCTTTTGGTTCTGGTTATGGAATGGGCATGAACTTTGAGCCAGGGTTAAACCCAAGTTTTGGAAATAGTGCAAATTTTAGTAGTAATATGAACCATGGACGGGGATTGAGCCCTTACTATATTGGTAATACAAATAGATTTGCTAGTCCTATTGGGTATGATGGAAGTAGTGGAGGTAATACTTCCTTTTTCAGCTCAGTGACCCGGAACCTTTGGGGAAATGGGGGACTCAATCATAACACAAATTCTGCTGGTTCCAGTGCATATATGGGATCTGGAAGTGGGAGTATGGGAGGAAGCGCCTTTGGAAACAGTGGAATTAATTGGGGTTCTTCTGCAATTTTCAGTCAAGGTGAGGGGAATAATGTTTCTAGCAATAGTGTGAATTTTGGCTATGGAAGTGGTAATAACAGCTTTGGGTTGGGGACAGCAGGGTATGGAAGAAACAGTGTGACCAATGTGGTGCCAACATCATCATATGCAGCATCAAATGGTGGTTATGATGAAGCCTCTGCAGACCTTTATGGTGGTGCTTCAGTATATGGGGATACCACTTGGCGATCATCAACATCTGAGCAAGATGGTTCTGGTTCCTTTGGCTATGGACTTGGTAGTGCCACTTCTGATGTTTCGGATAAAAGTTTTCCTGGTTATGTTGGTGGTTATAGCGTTAATAAGAGACAAGCAAATAGAGGTAACACTTGTTACTTAGCATCCTAAGATCTCTATGTATATGGTTTTCGGCTTGAGCCTAAGTCTTAAATTTGGCAGCACATTACTCTTAGTTATATGATGTTTCATTTCTTTATAGCCGCATGATGTGCTTGCTAGTTTTAGAATCAAGTTTGATATACAACTTTTGAACATAATCACCATATGATTCATTTATTAATTGAATGTTGTTTATATCTAATGTGTATATCAGTTACATTTGACAGTTTATGTAACATCCCTCAAATATGTTATATAATTTGGTAGCTTCTAATAAATCTTTGAATCTGCAAAGAGGGGATGAGAGAAAAGAGATTATGAAGTTTTTGTTGAATCATTAATGATACTAAAAATTTTAAGGTGTGATATTATTGTCGAAACTGTTGTATGAAAATAATTGTTATGTACAAAGATACTTATCATGTGGTAACAATAGCATGGACAAACTCAAACATTTATCATCTATCTTATTGTTTGCTAGTTATGTGGTTAACATGTTTGTCCTTCCACAAGTTGAGTCGGTTATTTTTGCCTCTAATGACCTAGTGTTTCCTATGTCTAAACCGCAATTGGAAGGTTTTGAATGCACTAATTGGTTTCCTAGAATTAATAGTGCTTTCAGCTCTATCTTTGTTATTTCGTATTTATTTTAGGATTTATGGCTTTATAATTTTCTAAAAGGTTTTGTCGATGGATTGTTTATATATTCGGCTGTTGGAATTAGATTGTTTCTCCCTACTCATTCTTTCCTCTGATTCCATTTTCCCACCTATTTGTGCCTATATCTCTATATATTTCTGTATTTTTTTCCCCTTTTCTTCAGTTTTCCTCTCCTTCCATCTAACATATGCCACATCATTCATGATCTTTTCAGCAGCTTAACAGTGTTCTTATGTTTTTCTGATCTTGTAGGCCTAGCATTGCTTGAATTGTGATCAACCCTTCATTGATATCTCTTCATTTTTTTTTAAAGCATAGTTCTAATTTGTAATAAACCACTTCAGTAAACATACCAAGTTTGACTCCTGCTTGAGCATGCTTTTTTTAAGTTTCAGTATGATCCAAGTGGAAGTTCCTTGCTATTCAAACTTTGTTAGTTGATGCAAATACATGGTTTCAGATGCAACTCCTAAATCTTTATCATGGCATAAGCTATTGTGTGGACTTACGATTTTAGACGGATAATCCTTTGTGATTGCATGCTATGAAGTGCAAAATAGTCTAACATTTATTGAAAATATGGTTTTGCCTAAGAATCTTGAAAGAAATATGTAACATTCTTATCGTTCTATACACAAAAGCACACAGATTCCTTGACAACTGATTGCAAGAGTTCTAAGTTTTTTTCAGTGTCATTTTCATGGCACCAAAAAAATATTATCCTTAAAATTACCTTAATGTGACTGTCATGGAACATTACTATTCTCCTCATAACTTTTCCCATTCTTCATTGTACTTCATGCAAGTCACGTGTTGAAATTTCTTGTTGTGACAGAAAGTTTTAGATTTTTTTTATGGAGAGAATAGAAATGCGTCTTATAAAGACTTATTTCTTCTGCCCCACCATCTATGGTTTGGTTTTTAGTGATTCAATTTTTATATTTTGTTCCTTTTTATTTTTGGGCTAGGCAAGTGAAGCAACTGCTTTTGCTCTCTCCTTTTCATTTTTTGATTTCCCCTTCAACTTCATTGGTCCTTTCATGTTAACTAGTTTTGGTTGTCTAATGCCTATCTACATGATATGAGGTTGCATAATTTGCTTATGGAATGCAAAATTATGCGATCTCATTCTGTTTTCTTGAGTTGTCACTAATTGCTAGTGTTTTATTTTTGTAGACATTAGACCACATAATTTGCTTATGAGGGCTCTTTTGTCCCTCCGTACTTTCTGTTTTATTCAATTTAAGGTCATAAAAACATGATAGCTACTAATAAGAGAGCTAAGTGCGGAATATTTTGTTTTCAGAAAAAGCTTTAGTTTGTATCCAACCATTGTAGCACATACACATACAAAAATACCTCTAATCTCTCTCTCTCTCTCTCTATATATATATATATATAACATTTGCAAGTTGCTATTGATAATTTATGCCTCAGCTTAGCACATAAATGTGCCAAGGTTGGCCCTGAATGATACTAGTATGCAAGTGTTTCTATATGGTATTCCTGCCAGTCTAGAAGTTTATTGATTTGGCTATGAAGGGAAAAAAAAGGAGCCAAACTGTAAACCCTACTTGCATGGATGTGGAGTACTCTAAAGTTTAACTCATGGATTTCTGCAACGATTGGGGATTTATAGATTCAGGAGGATTTAACTCCTATCATCCAGTCCAATGATTGGATTCAAAAGAAAGAAAAAGAAAAGGAAGGAAAAAACAAAGGAAACATCATTTGACTTTTGGTTCTGAAAAGAAAGGGGAAAGAGACATTCATTCATATCTATGGAAGAAACTACTCAAAGAATCTTATACAGGGATTGAATCAAAGTAGATTATTGTCCAAGTGGCCTGTTTAACAATCCTGGTTGGCATTCTAAAGTTCTTTTAGAATTGGATTTCCTTTGACATGCAAAAATTCTTTTAAGAATGCAAAAAGGATTCCTTGGCCTGAGGCAAGAATGGTATTAGAGCATGTGATAGAATGAATTCTACATGAATCTGCTAGCTGGCTAAGGAAAAGGATATAGGCTCAGCGTCTGTCTTATCGATTTATTGTTATGTGCACAGTTTTACGGCTGGTCTTTTCTGCCTTACCATCATGGATTTGATTGCTTGCTGATGCGATGAAAATAGTTGATTGTCCCTTGATGTCTGTCATATCAATGATTTTGCTTCACCAACTGCCAACTGTTGTTATTTTCATTATTAATTTAAGTTAGAAAATTCTGATGCCACTTGTAATTGCACCAACACTATCTTGCTCCTTAGAATAAATCAAATGCCTTCTTTTTTTATTTTTAATTTTTTTATTAACATATTTTTTAATGTACCTTCTGAAACATTGTTATAAATTTAATATTCTTGAGTTGGTTTCTTTACACTAACACATTTTGATTTTCTATGGTTCAGGAATTGCTACGTAGAAGGTTATTTTGGTTATCACAATACTGTAGGTGAAGATAATCTTGTGAAACAGGTGATCTGTGAATTCTGCACATTTTCCTCGTTAATATTGTTTCACTTAAAAGAAAGTTGGTTATCTAGAGCTAACTGGAGTGCCTGTTTTGAAGAATTAAATTTAGAGTTAGAGATCACAAGGGATTTTGTGTTAAGGCTTGAGTTTTGAGTTACCTTTTTAGGGTTTTTTGGGGTATTTGAGTGAAATGTGAAATCAGATTGCGGGATATAGTCAGAAATGTATCATGCATCACATGCGATCGGTGATACGTAAGGATATAGACTATTTTTTTCTTCCAAGGTTTTATGTTTTGTAATGGCTCTGGCAAAGTTGTGGGTTCTTGTCAGGTATCTTTGTTTTTTCCTTATCTACCATTATTTGGGTTTGTCTTTCAGCCAGATTGTACCTGAGGTTCTTGTTGATTTACTAGAGTGAAACATTAAAAGGGATACCCATCTAGGGTCCCTCTGAATAAGTTACTACATATGCTGATTCTTTCTCCATTGAAACTTTTGTGCAACAGGTTGAAACTTCCTTTGTGAAATACTGAAATGGACGATTTGAATTGATTTTTTGTCTAATACCTTTTTTTTTCCTTGCAATACTCAGACTAAATATGCAAGCCATGTTCGTAATTTGTGCATAATGCAAAAAGTTTGGTAAACAACATGGAATCCACAATGTTTTGGACATTCAGATTGCATTGCTTGAGCTTATTTTTATTTCTGCTGTTTATGATATTAAATCTATCTTGCGAAATTGCATTGACTCTTTTGTATGTAATAGCCATTAATTAGAATAGGACGCTTCAAGTTGCTCTCATTAGGCTGTGAGCATCATCATGTGGTCAAATCTTGCATTCCTTGTTTTAATCACTTTTTTCATTTTCGTTTCCATTCACATGCCTTGTTTGGTCCATGCATACAAACTCCTTTGTGTGATCACCGCCAATCTGGGGTTTGCTAGCTGAATGCAGAGTTCAGACCTCGCCCTCTATTGTAAGCTTAGCCTATTCACTCATAGTTCCCTTCCATGTTTTTTTGGGCTCATGAACGGGGGTGGATGTGCACAGCTTCCCATTTTCCCACTCTTATGTTTCAATTGGGGATGGAAATTTTTTTTTTTCTGTACATAAGAAGCCACAGCTTAAAAATAAGAAAAAAATATTGCAAATGTTAGGATTTGAACTTTAGACGTGATGAATGTCATTTTTTAAAGGGTATTATATGAATCAATTCAACTAAGCTTTAGATTAAAAAAAATCAGATGATTGGCTCTTACTGAAAATTGCTCGATCAATTTCTCCAAAGACCTGAGTCCGTGCATCGTCGTATCCTCTCCATTTTTGTCTTTTTGGGATAATTCTGAAGCATTGCAAGAATCCAACATCCTAACCACTTGTTGATCATATGCCTGTCCAAGCATGTCACAGCATGATGCTTAAATTACTCAAGGTTAGCCATCTGAGAGTCTTTGGTCTATAACTCAATCCCTGTTGCCACCAAGCCTGTCTGGATAAAAATCACTCAATGCATGCCTTGGAGGTGTAGCATGATACAAGTTGCTGCCTCCTGCATTATGTTATGATAGGGACACCTTAAAGGGAAACAATTTAGTCTGCTGCTTTCATTTTCTTGTCTTGCTTTGTTTCATTCTTTGACGTTTTAACTGAAATTGAAAGAGCTCAAGTGGGAGGAGTCTGTATATCTAATAATAGCCCAAAAGTTCAGAAGAGGGGAAAAAAAAAACCCCAAAAAGGGGATGGAATATCACCTTGCTGACCTTTTTCACCAATCTAAAATGTGGCTTTGATCAAATTTGAACTTCTGTTACAGGCTGTAAATTGTTAAAATTCCAATCCTACAAAGGCTACGCAAGGAAAACAAATAACTATGGATACCAACAGTAGTACTGCTCTTGGTACTTCGAACTTATATAAAATACCATCATTTGTTTTTTTATTCAGACTTTGGATCCAGGTACTTGATCAATCTCTGCTTCAGCTTGTGTTTTTGAGATTAAGTTTTAGTTCATTTTAAAACTTTTTCACAGAAAGATTCAGCTCTCAAAAATATATACTAGTAACTTGTAACAAAAACTGAACGAGGATAAAAATACGAGGAAGGGAGTGCCATATTTGCCCGATAGTGACGTGTTGCTATAGCTAATCGAATTTAAATTAGGTAGTAATATTAAGGGTAGAGTTTACAAGAGATGAAAGAGATTTGAATGGACCAAAATTAGAAAGCTACAACAGTTGTCAAGATGGCCGAGTTGGTCTAAGGCGCCAGTTTCAGGTACTGGTCCGAAAGGGCATGGGTTCGAATCCCATTCTTGACAAATAAATTTTTAACTTTGCCGCTTTGGTTGATATTGGGGCGTTTTATTGGGCCAAATCCCATAGAAAAACTGGGCTCAGTACCTTTGATTCTTGGTCTCAGAATTCTGAACCGAATATTAACAGGCTTCCTTGTAGGCTTGTTTTTAATTCAAATAAATTACTCTACAGATTGCAGAAGAAATCATATTCCAACATCATTTTCGTAACTTCTCACAGAAAAGCAAATTTTGGGTCTTTACATAGAACATAAATAAAAAATTGTTGCCGTGAACATTGCTAAGCAACATATTTGATCATGTATATTTGGATATAAATACAAGAAATGGAAGCCTATAGTTCAAAGCAGCATCCGGAAATTCCTTACAACATTGGACTTGACAGTTGACATCACAAAATTAACCACTAATGGGATGTTTAGAGAACCGTTTTCAATCCCTTGTTTTCATTTTTGTGTCATTTAACTATGTATTCCACTGTGGATTCCACTACCTTTATCTGATCCTGAAATTAGTCCTCTCTTCATCTTCTCTTCTTTAGATTTTCTACAGAATATCACCCAGGAATTCGCTTCCAAAGCTATGCAGACACCTATCAATGTTGATAGGCACAAACAATAGCCCAGCTTAGCATAAGACCTGCTTTCTCCCATAACTTCAAAGCCTTGGAAAACATTCACAACCCCAAGCACCACGCAAGCATACCCTACAAAATGGTGGTAAGATTTCCAGTACTTCCTGAATTTATGTGTAGTCTTAGGCCTAAACAGCAGAGCAAGTGTTTGAAGAGCCCCCAAAACAAATGCCGCAAATCCGAGCTTCCTATGGATTCCATACGTTACTCCTGGGGACATTTCACCCAGCCTGATCCCAATTGCAAATCCCACAGTTCCAAGGAAAAATGCTGACAATTGGATTCCTAAATGAACATAAAACCAAGTAGGCCCTAGCGCTTGTATGTGGCGCAAGTAGCGCGCTGTTGCAGCTCCCATTGGTAGTAATAACCCCCATGAGATGGCGTTGATGGTCCCATGAACAAGTTTTAGTATATTCATGTTGTTATGCTGTGTAGCTGCTGAGCCAGACAAGACATCAAATGTAGTAATGGAGGAAAGGTCATTAGAAGTTGTTGGATGGATGGTTGGAGAGTAGCCTTGGACATAGAGTCCTCTGTTCCAAACATGGTGAATTTTGGTCCTGTTTGGTACAAGTTTTACCGTGGCATAAATTTGAACTGTGGCACCATTGTCTATGGTAGCCATTTTGCCACCATATAAGGTAGCCGATGAAGAAATTAAGTGGGTATCAAGTGGGCGAGAGAGGAGTGGGGATTTTTGGAGCTTAACAGTTGAGTCTAAAATGTAAGGAAGTAGTACCAGTTGACCTGAATTAGGGTCCGGAAAGGCGACAAGGGCGCGTGTACCGGTCATTTCCGGGGATGTAGGATTAATTCCCCATCCCACCCATCCGGAAGGTGAAATGAAAGTGCCAAAGAAGCAAAGGTCTAATGTGGCATTGTGGGGATGGAATGTCCAAGCAATCGAGGCTTGTTGGGTAGGAAGTGTCATGCATTTTTGAAAGGTTTTGGTGGCGGTGGTGGTGCTACAATGAGCTGAAGATGCAGCATTTAGATGGGAAAAGAAAAGGAAAAGAGGGAAGAGAAAGACCATGGTTGTGGAAGAAGAACGGATGAAGGCCTGAATATAAAATGCTATTGTTAACATTTATGAGATTGGTACTAAGGTTTTGTTGGGGCAATGAAAGTAGACTGTCATGATGACTATTGAAAAATTTATGAGAAATTTGGGAAAGTGCTTAGCTTTGAAGTTAAGACAATATCAAAGTTTGGGTTTTGGTAGATCTTTAAAAAGAGATCAAGGATGTGACTGTTTCTATGAAGTGTTGCCTCAGCAAAAGAAAATTCCTTGCATTCTTCCTTTTCATTTAATCCATACAAAATTTTTTCTTTCTGAAAATCATTAGTTTTCAATCATTCCTTTCATTTCTCAATTGATAGCAATAGTTGTTCAAATGAAGAATTTAACTTCTTAATTTCAAGATAATCAAATAAACCAATTTGAATTAAATCTTCCAATGGGAAGAGGTTTGGTTGAAAGTTATCGGGATAGTGCTCTGCTTGGCTTTGAAGCAAAGCAATGGAAACTAAAATGTGAGATTCTTTTCATCTTGGGACTGAAGTGTAAGAACTTTTAGCAATTGGTCTTTCCACTTTCTAAATCTTGGAAGCATCTTTTCATCGTTGTTTTAAGCCATCACCATGTTTGCTAGTGACAGTCGGTCCAGCAAAAGTTAGGTTACAGTTTCTTGGAGATTATGCCCTACTCTGCTCTGATTAATTTGGAAGCAGCAATCAATCATCATAGCAATTATTATCATTATGAACTGAGTTAGGTCTATTATAGTAATTTTACATGGAGTCCATCTAGGCTTTACTCTATCACACAATTTACTGTTTATAGGAAATGTATTAGAAAGAATTGCAGTGGATGCTAATCCATAATCCAACAACTAGTGGACATATTTTCAGTTAAAACCTAAAACGACAGCGTGGTGCAATTACCCTTTGTCTTTGACCAGTTGAGCCTTTGCCAAAAGCCTAACCAATTAAACCCAACTGTCGGCTTGGCTTTCCGGGTAAACTGACTCTGAGTCTGATCCTAGGCGAGGCAAGACAGGAGCAGCGGTGATGGGAGTAAGCTTGGAAGGAAAGAAGGTTATAATGGTACCATATATGGAAGCACATGTCCCAAAGTACCACGTTTGGATGCGGGACCCTGCTCTTCTTCAAGCCACCGGATCAGAGCTCCTCACCCTCCAACAGGAATACGATATGCAGCTCTCTTGGAACCATGACCCTCTCAGTTGTTCTCTCTCTTTATACAAACCCTTTTCTTCTTTTTTGTTTTGCAATTAATCAATTGGGTTTGTTTGGTTTTTGCCTTTTGAGTCTGTAATTAAGGTTTTCATGCTTGTTGTCTGTCGACAGAGAAAACTTTCATTGTTTTGGATAAGGAGATGGTTGAGGGAAAGTTTGTTCATGGAGATCCCTATGTGGAAGGTCAGCTAAATTTACAATCTTTCCTTTTCTTTTTTATTTTCTTGATTGCCGAGAATTTTGTGGGCAATTTATCGCTTCAAAAATTTTAAACTTTCATCCTTGATTACCCTTTGATTTTTTAGTGTAATTTTTAAATATTGTTTTAAGAGTTGTTATATTCACCTCTTATGATTTATGTGGGACTGATGGGCTGATGGTAAATCATGATCCAGCTATGGTTGGGGATGTGAATATCTACATGAATGATTTGGATAAACCTCAATTGGCAGAGATTGAAATTATGATAGCTGAACCGAAAAGGTACTTGCTTTTCAGTTATTTAAAATACACAAATCTAATTCTCGAGTAAAAGTTCTTGCCTTGCCCCATCTTTTCTTCGTACTTATGAGTCCCTTTAGAATTCTTCAACGTGAAATTCTTCCACTTCATTTCTGTTCTTTTTTAAAATTTGTTGGTTTTGGTTTCTTTTTTCATCTTTTCTTTATTGTTTTCATACTGATGAACCATTTATGAAAAGAGTGCTGTGGAATGGAAGTACTGTTAAAAATAATTACTAGACATCATCATGTAGATTGTAGAGCATGTTGTGATGACTGTGGGGGTCGGGGTGGGGGGATGTAGAATTCCCTGCTGGTCTGCTCCTCTATAACTGAATGGAATTCCCTTTGATTTTTTGTTCTTTTTTTTTTTGAAGTTTTATTTTATTTCGAGTTTGTGTCTGTGTAGCAATCTTTTTCTTATGTTTGTATTGTGTGCTTAGAAACATGACTGATTAGATAACACAACCCTTAGGAGTAAAAAACGAATAAACTAAAATGATCAATTCTGACAAATTGGCAGGTGTAACACTTCTAAATTTTTACATATATCTCAGATGAAAAAGTTAACTGGCAATTTGGATTTTCATTTCTTGCTGTTATCCTTCATGGTTCACCTATGTATTCCTTACGTTTGAGCTCAACTGCACATATCATATCAAATATTTATTTGAGCAATCTTGGTTGTTCTGATATACTCTCCTAAAGTAGGCTTGGTCCTTTTGATATTTGTCAATTTTCCTTGGTCCCCTATGTTAGCAGCATATAGAAAATAATGTAACAAATAGAAGGATTTTATGCAGGATGAATAAAGATTGAAAACATTATAGACTAAAAATTAGCAAAGAAACTGTTAGTCTAAAAGTGACAATGCTTGAAAGGATAGATTGAAATTCTTTTGGAATACAAAGCCTTTGGTATTTTGAGTTGAGTGTCTAACTACAAAATCCTGTCACATTTTTTAAAATGCTTTCTAGTCCTTATGACCTTTTATTTGATGAGCTATAAATCATCTAGGAAACAAAAGAAAGTATCAAAACTTTGCAGTTGGTTTAATGCTTTTTTTTTTTTCTTACTTCCCTTTCAATCTTATCTCGTGTTGTTTTGCTCATGCTAGAATAGCCGTGGTAAGGGCCTTGGGAAAGAATCTGTCTTGATGATGATGGCCTATGCAGTTCAGAATTTTGGAATCCATGTCTTCCGTGCTAAAATTGGGGAATCAAATGGGTCATCTCTTAGTTTGTTTCGGAAACTGGTCTCTCTCTCTCTCTCTCTCTCTCCATGTACATTATATATAGAGCACGCACACAACTTAAAAAGCCTGTTTTCTTGTTTCTACACATTCACACAAGGCATTCATGTGAAGGATTAATGTCCAATATCTTGTATGGAGGTTAAGAGACTCATGCAATATGTATGTATACTTGTTGTCTTGTTCTTCCGGTTGATAATGCCATTCTGGTTGGTTTAGGGCTTTGAGGAGGCTTCTTATAGCGAAATCTTCAAGGAGGTGAGATATCCTTATGTCATCAAAAATGGTTGGGCACACTTGTCCCTTGGTTTATTAGGAGTTTAGTAAATAGGAGTTGCTGACTTGCTGTTCTCTTGATCGTTTCCCCTCATCTACCTTTGCATATGTAAGCCATTTTATTAACCAAAATAGTTTATGGCTTTAAATAAGGATCTCAATTGCTGAGCTTACTAAGGATATGGCTGTAAATAGAGTATAGTGGCACATGTACAGTTTACCTAAAACTTTTATTTGCATTTAAGTTTCAGTAATTGGATGATATCACCTACTCCTTTAGATATATGAATTAGAAGTTGCCAGATCAACCTAATTTGATGTCTTTACCATTCGGTTTTCATCATGAGGCCCCAGCCCAAGGTTGGAAAAAAAGAAGAATCAGAGCACTTCAAAAAGTTCTTGTTAAGAAAAATTCTAATGTAGTTGGATGGATGAAGCTTATTCTTTTCACCTCACAATTGATGTTCTATATGTATCTAATGCATGCTCACAAGCTGAACCACGGCAAATGTTAGCCTTGTGTTTCTTGATCAACCAAGGTTGTAACCTTGTAGGAGACTAGTTAATTATAAATGTCAATCGTGGGTGGTTTATCTGTTCCTTGTCTAATTTTTCTCAGACCCTTTTTTTCCTCTTTGGCATGATTGACAGGTAACACTGGAGCTGCCCGTTACAGAGCAAAAGCAAAAGGAGCTGTCACAGTTGTTCGGTAATATGATTACACATACATAGCCTAGAAGAGGCTATATTTTTATTTTACCCTTAAAGTTATTAATGGAAAGAAACACTTCCACCAGAATTCTTGGCATCCATGCTGAGAAGCTGAAGTTGGTCAGAGTTGGGTGGTAAAGTATACTTGTATTGGTCATATTCCAAAAACGCTTAAACTACTTTCGAGTTGGGTACTTCCAAGGAGTTCAGAGTTGCTATTTTCTTATTATTATTTTTTTTTACAAAGAATGTCGCAACCTAAGAATAAAAGAAGTGTTGCAGGTTATGAGATTCGAATTCTAGACTTACTGGATGTCACTTTTTAAGGATAATTACATGAACGTTGAGTTCCAAGTTCTATTTTCTTATGTTTTTAATAGAGGATCTAAGACATTTCTAGGACATTTAGAACTATATTTTGACAACCAAAATATTGGCAGAGCAAGCATCAATCAGTAATAGCGAGTTGTAGAAACTAGAATGCAGATGCGAATGGTAATTGTTTAAATCTAATAAAACTGTAATGTGAATGCTGAGTTTTCAGGAACAAGAAAATAAAAATTTTTGACATTGATGGTGATGATCAATAATGACAGAAACTTGTATGCAAAAAAGACAAACAATGGCGAATAGCATAAACATCTACTGATTATTGACATAATCAACAACTGATTTTAAACCTTATAGTCGAAATTAGACTAGTGAAACATTTTTCAGGGGAGGCATTCTGGGCTTCATGTGACATTTGTTACTAAGTGGATAGAAAATCGAGCAGTTCCACTGACAGAACGTTTTGGCCAGATAGCTGGTGAACCTGAGGAATGTTGTTGGAAATGAACTTCCGAGTGGCCAAACATGATTAAAAGTAGTTTGGTTTTGGGGGATCTCATGTTGGATGGCTTGTAGACGTAGTACATAGAAAATAGTGGGTTTGGGATGTTCGAACATTTCTTGATATTTTGGGATTGCCATTAAAGAAAGCTTAGACATCGAAATTTCAATGAAGGCTCAACTGGGCTGATTCATGGTTGGTCCGGAAAGGCTTCCATGCGTGCCCAACTTAAGCCCCTTTGATACTCCTGAAAGGTGGGCTTCCTTTTTGGACTTGGATACTCTGCTTATGTGTTAAACTAATAAGTTATTTAGATTTAGGCTTTGTACAGAGTGAAAATTTGAAGTTATTTGAGCTGTCTATTCTGAACGTTTCTCTTTATTTTTTTCCAATTTTCATATCAAAGACTCCTTTCAGTAATGTTGAGACAAAACTTTTTGGTTTCATTTTTTTTCTTGGAAAAAATGGATGGTTCAGTTGGATAAAACGGAGATTCAAATATGAAATATTTTGTATTTATTAGAATATATATTTAGCTTATTGTTTTAATTAGTATTATCAATTCCCATATTAAAGGCCCGAAATATTGTTGAATTTTAGGGTAGGTCGCAATTCCTTGTTCCTTAGCAGCCTTCCTCTTTTAACGCAAAAAGTATATGCAACAAAATGACTTTCATGACTGTTGACTAGGAGGGGCAGAACCAAAACTTGGTTACTTGGACTTAGAGGGGGAGAGAGGGTGGCCAACATACTTCTTACTTAGGAAAGATTGATATGCTATTATGTGATTTTTTTTCTTAAAAAACAAATAATTAATGAAATCCAAATCATCGAAAGAAGATAAGGAAAAAGTGAAAGGTTTTTTTAAGAGGTAAAAATTCAATGTGAATGTGTTTAGTGAAAAGAGATGGGAGATACCCCATGCTGGAGAATGGCCCTTTTTTTTTTTTTTTAATGATAGACGTAAGAGATGATGAGGCTTGAGTGGCGCAGTCTGTGTCAGAAAGTATCGAGATAAGTATGTATGGACTGAGTTGACGTACGCGTTGGAGTAGTGGAAGACCCACCGCTTATTGCTTGGAGGTGGACCGACTGGTTTGTGCCGCTCACAGGACTCAACTTGCACAAGCCTCCGTCAGCAGGCAAGGTATGTGTCCTCTTCTCAAGTCGTATTGGAATTTATTGTGTGAGGTATTATTTCTTTAAAGTCATGAGCGGATTTGATGCTATATTCTTTGTTCCTTACATCACCAACAATCCTTTTTCTTTCTGTCGCTTAGGTTTTTCACCTCAGCATTTGAGGGTCAAATTCAGGTACTGCGGATGCGTTTGAAGGTGAAATTTGATAAAATATGGGTTTCAGAAACAGTTGCAGCTGGAAAGAGATGAAGGATTGATCTTATTGTCAGAACTTAAAATTACAAGTCCTTTTGCTTTTCCATGCTTGCTGGCGTACGCGGTTTGGGTTTGAAATTAGTACATGTGTTTTTATAGGTGAATATGGAAATTATGGTCATTTCAATCATTAATTTTAACCGTGTGGGAAATAATAATTTGCACCGACTTATATGATTCCATAATGTGAATATATATACATTTCGTCATGAAAAAAAAAAAAAAAAAAACTACTGTCTATATTATGCCAACAGACATTGTTTCAATTATGACAAGAAAGATATCTCGACATCTTATGTCTCAAATTCAATTTTTTTTCCGTTAATTTTATATTATTTTATTTAGTTTGTTCATTGATTTTTGGATGTAAATATATTTAAAAAAAGAAAGAAAATAATATGCATATATATTAGAAAAAAAAAAAGAAACAATTCAATTACATGGACACGTGAACGAAATCTTTAGTTGATGTGAGACTAAAAGAAAAAAAAAAGGTTGTTCTTATTGGACAATAAACGAAAATGTGTTTGAAAAGTCCAATACTTCAAATCATAATTTAGGCTCATAAAACTATAATTGACCACTGCCTAACTAGTTAATTAGGGCTTGGCAAAACCTTGAAACTACAGAATTAATTACCAAAGAATGTGGAAAATTGCTTTAAGGCCCATCTACCAATTTTCCTTTCTCCCAATTTAACAAAACATTATGGGACAGTACTGTTGTCTCTTGCACCATTTTAACAAAACATTTCTTTGAAATCAGAAGCCGAAGTCCGTTAGAATGATAGCAGAATAGCGAAACAGAGTTATAACTGCTGCATGGACAGCAGGGCCCCCAAAGATCATTGCTCAGGAGTAACGTGATGTTCCATCTTCTGGAACATCTGGTCCTTGGCGTTTGGTAGATTTTATAACACCTGGTAAAGGTTGCAGATTACGCAAGGCCTGCCTCATGCTTGCCTAAGCGAGTATCTGGCAGGAAAAATTGACCTTTTGCCTAATTAAGAGTTTTAATGTCAAAGCTCGAGGATACTGAAAGAAACGTTAATGAAGATTATTGGCGCACTATTTAAACCTGTACATTTATTCCTTGTATATAGTTAGATGCGTGTTCTTTGTTTGTCCTTGTTCGGAAAACTTTAACAAACGAGAACATATGCCAGCCACTAAATTGTTTGGTTGGTGATCGATCAAATGGTAGTTAATCTTGCTTTTGGTGCATGTTCAAATTCTAGTTGTCAATGTAATTTTGGGTTTGATGGAAACATGATTTGTTAAAATTTTGAAATGTGTTTTAATATCAAATCATTATTGTTAGAATAAGGTTTACATGGAAATAATAAATCTCACATTATTAAAAAATTAGATTAAAATGTTCTTTATATACATGAAAGACCCAAAAATTTAATAATTTAAATTTTTTTGTTCAAGTAGTATTCAACATATATATATATATATGAATTTTTTGGTGTACTCCCATGACTTCTAAGTATGATAAACCTTTCAACAATTGATATCAGAGTAAGGCACAGGTTTGAATTTCAGTGGTGTTGTTATGAGGAAATTGTTGATAAATCGAAAGTTGATCGCATCCATCAACTCTATATGTTCGAACGTCAATATTAAAGTGAAATATTTGATTTAGATGCATCGAATATATGATAATATGCAGAAACAAAATTAAGAGTGTTCATTCGATCGATTCAATTAATTTCGAACCAAATTATCTAAAATCGAATTAATCGAATTATATTATTTTATTTTCGTTAATCAAACCGAATTTATGAATTTCAAAAATTAACCAAACTTACGAATTGTTTAATTCGATCGATTTGGTTAATTTTTTTGGTTAATCGAATAATAAATACATTTAAGCTAAATTATATTTTAAACTCTTAATTTCTCAATTTTAAACAAACTAAATAAAATTATTCAATAAAATATTCAAATACTAAAGTATTATGTTAAAAACTCTAATAAATTATGAAATTAAGTGATCTATTTTATGTATTTTTATTTTATATTTGAATTATGTTATATTTTGATTAAAATTTCGATTAATTCAGTTTGAAAACTGAATTAACCAAAAATCAATTTTTTTAAAAAATTATTTTCGTTAATCGATTAAAATTAATTTAATGATCGATTAATTAATCAAAATAAATCGATTCGATTGATTAATTAAATTAAAATCAAATTATAAATACTTTTAGCAAAACACCAAAATAAATGTACAAACTTGAAAGGATATTGAGACAACTTAAGTGATAAAATTAAGTGTTATAATTAAACTTAATAGTACATTAAAAATATTAAATTATTTGATTCAAAATAAATATTAATAAAATTTACTTGTACGAAAAAAGAAGTGAAACTTGATCAACCTACGGGAGATCTCCTAACAATTATCACTTTTAATTAACAGCAATGTTAACATGCTTCATGAAGGCTGCCAAGACAAACTTATATATAATTAGCTTGAACTACAACCACAATATCGTGTCCAATTCCAGTTTCACATGTATGAGAGACGTGGTCAGATCAAGTCGGAAGAAATATCGGAAGAGATCCAAAATTATTGGTTCGACATATGAATCGATAGAAAAAGCCGTCTGGAGATTCCAGAAGGCCAATTGACGACGGTGGCTGAAACGACATCTGCCGCAGTAAAAAACGACACGTAGACGCAAGTTCAGAAAGGCAAACGGACACGACATCTGGGATTCTGAACCCCACCTACGTCGTTATCAATTTTTATCAAACTAAACAAAATCTAATTTGTATTGTTGCATTCAAACTTCTTCACTTTGACTTCCATCTTTCACATTAATAATAATAAAAAAATACATTTATATAAACTTTAAAAAAATAAGTGTAAATAAATAATCTCGAGACTCGAATTTAGCCGGCGACATAGACCTCTTCCCAAGCAAACACCGAAATGCGTTCATTTATTTATTATTTTCTCCTTTTTTTTTAATTAAATTTTCTCATCAAAACAAACAAACAAACAAAGCAATAAAAATCTAGAATTTATAATTTATAAGAAAATAACTCAAAATTGAATTGAAAATTTAAAACCTACCGAACTTCAATTCTTTTTTTTACTTTGAGTCCATAGAAATGCTTAAGTTTAATTCGGGCTAAAAAATTTTAAAATTTTTATATATTCTAAGATAAATTTTTATTTTTATTGTATCCAATTAAAATTTTAATTTATTATTTTTAATTGAAAATTTAAAATATGTTTTATTTAATTAAAATCTTATCTTATATGAAATCCACTAAAATTTATACCTGATCGGCATTTTTGTTATCATTAACTCTACCCTGTCAACGTTTATGTGGCATATACGTGCCAAGAATCAACTTCCTAGACGGTGATATGACATGCTATGTCTTGCCATGTAAGCGTCAACTCAACATGAATATATATATATATATATATATATATTATATAATATATATTATGAGAACATTGATTTGGCAAAACTAACGATGGCCTGGACGCTAACATGATGAAAGTAAATGATTTAAAGTATTTTATGTAAAAAAATTAATTAAATAAAATAATATTAAAAATTAATCTAATGCGATAGAATAATATAAAGTTATTTAGAAAATTAGAAAAAATAGACTTTTTTAATATTTAATCTAAATTTATCCGTAACTTGCATTTTTTTAAAAATTTCCTTAAGTAGGTGTTGTGTTGAAAAATTAATTAGTTTTAAATTTATTAGTGGACTTGATTGCTTACAACCGTGTAGGGACCATTCCTTGTTCACATTTTCCGCCCTATTTTCAAATATATTGCAGCTGATCAAATGTGAACATAGACTCAAAAGTTGGGTAGTTGGACGTCAGAGAAGAAAGAGAGTAAGACAAGACGTTATATTACATTTCAAAATCAACTGCCAAATAGGCTAAGACTTTCTCCCTGCTTCCCCACTTATTCAAAAAACCTTCACTATTTCCTATCCTACTAAAAAAAGAAGCATATTTTATAAAACAAAATCAAGACTTCTAAGTAAATTATAGTTTCATCATATTAAAATATAAAGAGTATATATTGTATTAAGAATCAGTCTAACAAAAACGAGTTTGTTTATATAAAGGAAATTACAGTTTTAAAAAATTATAATTATTAAAATTTGAATTAGATGCAACTCTTAAAAAAAAAAAAAAAACCAATTCAACTAGATGATGGTTCAAACATCAAATACAAGCTCTTTTAATAGTCTTTAAAGAGACTCATTTCCTGACCTCTTCCAACTTCCTTGTTCATTCCCTCCCTACTTTATTAGAAATAGAATTCTATATAAATCTGTGTAGTTGGGGTCCCAAAGTGCTTAACACACCAAATTACCTTGAGATACAATTTTTCTATATCCTTTTTTTCAGTTTCGATATGGAGAAATTTTGGAAAATTGTCCTGTTTTCATGCCTGGTGGTTTCTTTCTTGGCTTCATCGTCTGCCCAAACCTGTCTTACCCAAACTTTTTCCAACAACAAGCAATATACCAACTGCAGCGATCTTCCTGCCTTGAACTGTTTCCTCCACTGGACATATGATCAAGCAAATGGGACTCTTGAGATTGCCTTTAGACACACCGGCACCACCTCATCGCGATGGTCAGCGTGGGCGATCAATCCCGATGGACCAAGAATGTTGGGTTCCCAGGCTTTGGTTGCCTTTGTCAACTCCAGTGGCGTCGCTCAAGCATTCACAACATCAATTGATACCATGACCCCTTCCATGCAAGAGAGTAGTTTGAGCTTTGGGGTTCCAAGCCTTTCAGCAACTTTGAGAATAATGAAATGACGATATTTGCTGTTCTGAGAATCTCCGAAAACTTGCTATCTACCAGCCAGGTTTGGCAGGAAGGTCCTGTGAATAGCGGCCAACTAGGGATTCATCCCACCACTGGAGCCAACGTTCAATCCGTTGGAAGTATCAATTTCCTTACAGGACAATCTGGTGGGAGTGCATCAGGTTCAAGAACTAGACGAAGAAATGTAAGTGACTCGAATCTTGGGTTAATTTACTTAGCACCTTATTTTCTTGGTCGTATCATTATAATTTGGTTTTATTATCATCACAATAGTTATCAAGTTTGTTGGATGGGTTTACTTCTTTCAACTACCATTCATAGATTTGGTTCTGTTTCCTTGTTTATTTCTTTATGGTTTTGTTATTTCTTGGAGCAATGAAGCGCCTACAATTTTCGATAACAAGTCAATAGTAAATGTCCATTACAATTTTGTTTAGATTTTCCTCTTAAATTTAATGATTTGATGATTATTTTTTTCAAATGGATTTTATAGTGTAATTTTCCAGTTTATCATGTTCACAAGATCTCATGATTATGTCTTTCCTAGAAACCTTATTGTTGGATTTAGCTTTGTTATCGAATTTTATTTTAATTTGAACTAGCCAATTTTTCTCAATTTTGACCATAGAACTAGAATTACCATAAAAAGAAATGATTCAATAGTCCAATATCTTAAAGGTGGGTTGTCTTGAATTTTCCAGGTTCATGGAGTACTGAACACTGTCAGCTGGGGAATCTTAATGCCTTTGGGAGCCATAGCGGCTAGGTACATGAGGGTGTTCAAGTCTGCTGACCCAGCATGGTTTTATCTCCATGTTGCTTGCCAATCCTCGGCCTATGTCGTTGGTGTTGCAGGATGGGCAACTGGTATTAAGCTCGGGAGCGATTCTGCTGGAGTCACACAGAATCCCCACAGGAACATTGGCATTGTCCTCTTCTGCCTCGGAACTCTCCAGGTAATTTCTTCTCCCTTAACATTAACAATGTTAATTCAACATTAAAATCAATGGTGGGTAAAGGAAATATCGAATTGCAAGTATATTGGAATATCATATATCTTTAATTTGCCACTTCAAATTATTACTTCTTTTGACAAAATACGGTTTCTTACTGATTTTTGAATGAAATACTGGCAGGTCTTTGCTTTGCTTCTGAGGCCGAAGAAGGATCACAAATACAGATTCTATTGGAACATCTACCACCATTCCATTGGTTACACTGTCATCATCCTGAGCATCATCAACATTTTCGAGGGTTTCGACATCCTTCAACCTGATGACAAATGGAAGAGAATTTACATTGGCATTCTCATATTTTTGGGCATTATCGCGACTTTGTTGGAAGCATTCACTTGGTACATTGTTCTCAGGAGGAGGAAGACAGGGTCTGATAAGCACTCGCACAGCATGAATGGAGTCAATGGAGTGAATGTATATGGTGCCGGTGGACAGGGCGTGTAAAAAATTTTTTGGTTAGAACTTAGGCTTTTTTCTATTTAGTTTTTGTTCTTAGGTGTTACTAATACCATTGACATTATTTTTCTTTCTGTCAGTCTATTACACCATGAGCTTAAGGTGTTTTGGATGACTCCCCTTTGTTATTGCAGCATATTGTTTTTTTTTTTTTTTGTTGTCTTGTAGTTATGTTGTGATCTCTGAGTTATACACTGTAGTTTTGGTATGTATAGATGAACTCTTTTCTGTCTTGACTCCATTTTTCTTTCAATTCTGCTACAAATGTTGGGTTGCGGAAACTAAACAGCAAAATTGAAGTATGACCAATTCCATTAGTTCTTTGATGGGGGAAAGTATGGACCATAAGATAATATTGTGTAGGTGAAGTCCAAAATGATACAAGGATTGGCATTTGCCAAGTGTGCGACAATCACTTTCCAACCTCTTTCTTGTAGTCAACGAGTTGGGTGGCTCTTGAAAGTTGAAGACTATGAAATTTAAGCCCAACAGCAACTTTGAAAATGGTTCGGCCAGGCTAAGTTAGGTTTAGCTTCCTGTATTGTTCAATAATTACTACATTTACTTCTGGAATAATGTGGCACGGACCTATTTCCCTATTAACAAATAGTGCCAGTTCTTTGAGTTAGATTTGGTTTTTTTGAGTTAAGTAGTAAAAAAAAAGAGCCCAGAAAAATCAAACTCTGTAAGACAAATTAACACACCATCATTAGCGCTCCACACGGATAGACATGTCCTGGTCTTCTTCTGTTATTTTGTCCTTCCAACTTGGATCTTTTCTTTTTAGGTCTGCTTTGAACCTAGGTTGAACCAAGTTCACAACTTGAACTCTTTTTCCTAAATGTGCAATTAGCCACCTAGATCTTTGCTTAATTGAGGAGTATTTTTACTTCTTACCGATTGTGCATTTCTCCCTTTTGTCTTGCACTTGTTTAGGCTGCAACACCCACATCTTGCTTCTTGCACAGCAGTGAAGTCAAATGTGGTTGACTCCGCGACTTCTCCCAAATTCCCACAAGGTTGACCTTCATGATCTTTTTGAATCACCTCCTGGTTTACGTTTTAAGGAGTTGCTGTTGTCTCTGCCAATGTTATCGGTTGTATACATCTTAATTTTTTGAAATTCCTCAGTTTGAATAGATAAAGATTGATCTTGGACTTGACTTTCTGTTTATTTTTTTAACCTTGGGTTTGAAATTTGATTCGAAAGATTGCTTTGAATGATTGATCCTTGATCCCTGAGACTGCATCTTTTCTTGCACATAGAGTGAAGTTTTCATATTCAAATTTTCCGCGGTAGAAAAGCCTCCAAAAAACTCTGTTGTGAAGATCTCATGATTGGGCTAGTGAAAGTAGTCCATAACAGCCCAAATAGTAAAATTCATTGCTGAAAGTCCCAATGCCGATTAGAAGGCCTACAATTGACTTACGTAAAATTACAAAATTTCATAGGCAAATTATTACCCACCACGAATGCTCAAAAACCTCCACCACGAACTGGAGTCAAAACTTCTCTTCACAATTCAAGTTCATTAGCTAAAAACCAATAACCCAAAGGCCGATTTCCATACTTAACAGAATGGCTTCTCTCCATTCTCTTCTCTCTTCCTCTCGCTTCCTTTATAAACCCACTTCTCTCCCTCTCCCAAACCATACATATCCCTTCATTTCCCTTTTAAACGCCTCGTTTCCTTCCCAAAACGACAGGAACTCAAACGGATACATGGGGCAGCAGCAGCCACAGACTCGGCTCAGCCAGCAGTTGAGCTTCAAAACGACCCCGTACAGGAAATCCAGAAGCAAGAAGAAGCTGACAAACTTGTTCTTCCAACTAACGAGTTATCTGAAGAGCTCCTCAGAATTAGACACACGGTAATCATTGCTTTATCAATTTTCTTTTCTGGGTATTTTTTTCTATTTCACAAAGACACATTTTTGGTGCCAAAATTTTTCATTTTCTTTTCTTGGCTAAGCAAAGTTTTTATTTTTAGGTATGGGGATTTCAGTGTGCACATGTAATGGCAATGGCAGTTCAAAAGCTATACCCTGAAGCAAAAGTGACAATTGGACCCTGGATAGAAAATGGGTTTTACTATGATTTTGATATGGAGCCTTTGACAGATAAAGATCTCAAGAGGATTAAAAAGGAAATGGTTAGTAAACTAATGTAAATAATTTGATTAAAAAAGGGGAAAATTTTGTGAGCTTTGTGAAAAATGTTTTTATTTGGGCTATGGTTTTCAGGGGTACAAAGAAATTTATTTGTTACATCAAAATCTGTAGGATCGGATCATTAAACGAAATTTACCGCTTGTAAGAGAAGACATGTCAAGAGATGAAGCTTAGAGAAGGATAATGGCTGTAAATGAACCTTACAAGATGGAGATTTTGGATAGTATTACGGACCATCCTATCACCATCTATCATATTGGTAAGGCATATTCGCTATTTTAAAAAATTCCTGCAGAGTTGGAGTTTAAAATTTTCTTATAAATTACTTTTGTTCTTAGCTTGAGAAAAACTTTGTATGGAATGGTAATGTATTTATTCTAGATTAGTCGTTCGGGTTCTTATGCGAAATTTCTCTGATTCTTCTAGAAATACTGATTTAAGTATACCAGGTTTTCTTCCATGCCTTTTGCTTTCGTAGTTGTTGTAATTTTCAGTTTCTTTTTTCACTTTTGGTGGTCTTGCCTATTCTAAGTATCTGTGTTTACAGTTGTTGAACTTAATCAGTGTGCCTATGTCACCTTAGACTCAGAATCCGTGCGGTCTTAGGTTTGGAATCACCTCCTTCTAGCTTAAGTCTACCTAAAACACAAATGTGCGGGCACTAAAACAATAGGAAGGACAGAATGTGCAAGTTTAAGAGAAATAGAAGAACAAAAAAGTTGCTGGAATATGCTCTGTATTTCACTGAAGCAAAAGTGTGTATGATGATGTACAAAAGAGGGTGGGCCGACCCTCTATTTATAGTTGAGGCCCCCAACTACACTTATGGCTAAATTCTTAGAATCAAGGAATTACAATCAATCAAGGATTACATAGATTACATTCAATTAAGATTCTGCTTCCTGATTTTTGAGGTCAACCAAATCCACTAGAAGGCTCCTGCTGATCCTGTGCGCTTCTAGAAGATCTCCTTGTGCACTTTCCCTCTTAGGCCTTCCCTGATGTGGTGCGGGCATCTTGCGGGCCTTGGCTGGCTGTGCGGGTGGCTTGCATGCTGTGCGGGCGGTCTGGAATTCTCTCCAAGGCCTAGTGCACAAACCCCCGCCAATGCTCCTGGTGGGCAAGCCTCAACCTTGGGTGAGCATGTTGGTGCACCTGATGTGCCTGGCGCGCCCGCCCAGGGCATGACACCTAGCTGTTAATTGCAAGATTAACGCATACATAAAGAAAACAAAAAATCTAACGTGGTTAATCTTTATATATGGAATTTGTGATATTTTCTTTTGTTTTTTTTTTTACAATATTCCTGATGACTAATACTGATTCCAGGTAATGAGTGGTGGGATCTTTGTGCTGGGCCTCATGTTGAAACTACTGGCAAGATCAACAAGCAAGCTGTTGAGCTTGAGTCTGTTGCTGGTGCTTACTGGAGAGGAGATGAAAAGAAGCCTATGTTACAGAGGATATATGGAACTGCATGGGAAAATGAAGAAAAACTGAAAGCTTACCTTCACTTCAAAGAGGAAGCTAAACACCAGGATCACAGACGTATTGGCCAAGATCTTGATTTGTTTTCTATACAGGTAGCTCTTTTCTGCATTCCACGTGGCAGTTTGATAACTTAAACTCATTGTTCTTCATTCGTGATTCCTATCAATTGATATGTTCACAATGAAAAATTTATCTATTGTAGGAGGAGGCTGGTGGAGTTTTAGTCTTCTGGCATCCAAAGGCTGCCATTGTTAGGCATATTATTGAAGATTCATGGAGGAAGACACACATAGAGCATGGTTATGATTTGCTATATACTCCTCATGTGGCAAGGGCAGATCTTTGGAAATCAGTGGTCATCTGGACTTCTATAAAGAAAACATGTATGATCAGATGGAGATTGAGGATGAACTCTATCAGCTTCGACCATTGAATTGCCCATACCACATATTAGTATACAAAAGGAAGCTTCACTTTTATCGAGATTTCCCAATCAGAGATGCTGAGCTTGGGGCTGTGTATAGATACGAGTAGTCTGGCAGCTTACATGGCCTTTTCCATGCCTTTTCCATGCAAGCGGTTTTACCCAGGTAAGGTTTGTATCTCTGCTTAGTGGTTTGACTATGGAGCTTAGATTAACATGTTAAATATCTTTACTTATTTTCTGATCAAGCGTTGTTTAACCACTTTAATCAACTGCTTTTGCAGGATGATGCACACATTTTCTGTTTGGAAGATCAAATCAAGGAGATACTATTGCAATTTGGTTTCAGCATGCATCAGGTGAACCTCTCAACTAGGCCAGAAAAGGCTGTGGGAGGTGATGATATTTGGGAGAAGGCAAGAGCAGCACTTAAAGATGCTTTGGATGATCAAAGCTGGAACTATCAGATTGGTGAAGGTGGTGGAGCCTTCTACGGTCCTAAGATTGATCTTAAGATTGAGGATACTCTTGGAAGGAAGGTGCTCAACCATCCAGGCAAGTTCTAAGTTTTAACCTAAAAATAGATTGAATTTTGACTTAGCCCTGTTCTCTGCCTTTCTTCCAGACTTTCCCTCTTTGCCTTGTTCAGTACCTTATGTAGGCCTGTAGCTCAAATATGTAGTTTTTTGGGTGAAGTAAGATAATGACTAGACAATTTGACCACACTCGTGCTGCAAAGATTAAAATACTCTGATCAGCTAGTAATTCATTTTCTTACTGCACAGGTTGATTTTAACTTGCCGAATCAATTTGACATTACTTATGTTGACTCAAACTCTGTGAAGAAGCGTCCAATTATGATCCATAGGGCTGTGCTTGGATCCTTAGAGTGATTCTTTGGAGTCCTTATAGAGCATTATGCTGGGGACTTTTCATTGTGGCTCTCTCCAATACAAGCTCGGGTTTTGCCAGTTACTGATACACAGGTATATTTGGCTTCTGATTTTATCAATTCTTTTATAAAGCGTGTTCTGTGTATTGATTGATCATGTATGGCTTCTTGAAGACCTTGCATCTTACCATCTATTAAAAGAACAAAGTGG